TATGCATAATCACATTTGTCTTAAAGTTGTTGAGTTCTGGAATTGACCTTTTGTCTATTATATTAATCCATTATAATCATTATATATTAATCCATTATAATCTTTATATCATCTAACTATATTATCTATTATACATGCTATCTATATTGTTGTTATATTATTTGCTATATTATCTATTATATTACGTACGTACATACATGCGTACATGTGCCTGAATTTTCATTCATTCAATCATAACATTTTTACTTTTTTATATGTAGTATCTGTAGTAATCGATAGGATGAAAGGCAACCCAGCAATCATGTATGCTTGTTTTTATTAGGTTGAAGTAAAAAAAAGAGGGTAATGTAATTTCGCATGTCTTTCGCGTGCGTGTTTGTTACAATATTGAATAACGAAAGAATCGAACCGAAACAGGGGTACATACATAGTACGTACGTACGTAATACGCTCCTCGTGCATTTGCAGGAAAAAAAAATATTCTTTTTAAAGTTTTTTGTTTAAACAACGAACCAATCTACAGTATATACATAATAGTATATATATAGTACATATCGATATGGTACATATTTATTTATTTAACAAAAAAAAAAAAAATTTTTTTTATTTTTTTATTTATTTAAATTTCGTTGAATGTTATTCATTGTCCCTATTTGATGTACATTGTTCGGTTTTTTTTGAATAACCTTTCTCGTCTTTTGTTTTCTTGTGTACACATACTTGATAGTATCGGACAATTTGAATTTTTAAATTAAGAAAAAACAGACACTCACGTGCGTGACACAACAAATGGTTTACGCCTTCAGAATTATAAATACATACGTATAAAAATTTTATACGTATTTGTATAATTATTTCGTTTATCATTTGTCGATTTGTCGATTTTTGTCGATTTTTGTCGATTTTAATAAGTATTTTAGTACATATTTTATATGTATTCAATACGTTATTTTATTACGTATTCAATGTTTTATTTAATACGTATTTAATACACTATTTTAATGCGTATTTCATGCGTATTAGTAATTTTTTCTTTCTTCCAAAAATGATTCAAAATCAGAAAATCGACCGGATAGTTATAATATTAATTAAAAATTATCGATTAAAAATTATTGATCGGATAGCTATAATATTAATTAAAAATTATACTACAATAGTAATAATGATGTAAACAATTTAAATAAATGAATAAATTTAACTAAAGCGTATTTTCTTTTTTTTAAAAGAAAAAAACAAAACAGAACCATTGTACAAAATATAGATCATATTATCAATAATTTTACATATTGCGCAATTAATTTAAAAAAAAAAAAATACGCTGATAATTAATATATTGTATTATAATAATATAAATAAATATCATTATAGAAATTCAAATGGGTAAATAACAAAGAAATTTTTTTAAAATTAAGATTTATTAGATTTATAATAATTATAATATTTATTTATAATATTTATTCTTGATTGTGTAATTTTTAAGTTTCAATGATCATTGCAGTATATGTTAGAACTTATTATGTATATTAAACATGCGAGAGTATTAAAAATTGAAATAACTGATAATGAACAAAGAAATAATTCCCCCAAAATCCTAAATACGGATTGTATAAAACGTTTTGTTAAATTGGAATCTGTAGTTGGAATTATGATTTTCATAAATCCATGGTACTTTTATGCATAATTTCTTTTTTTAATATGGTTGGATATAAACTATAGTTTATATAGATTATATAGATTATATATATATAGATTATATAGATTATATATATATAGATTATATAGATTATATATATATAGATTATATAGGTTATATAGGTTATATAGGTTATATAGGTTTTATAGGTTATATAGAACGAATAAAAGATTATATATTATATGCTATGCCAAAAGCCAAAGTAGGATGATTTGAAGAGATAGTTTTATTTAGGATAAAGTTAAAGTTTCATGTGGAGAACATTGTGGGGTATACTTTTATACTGTCGTGAAGTGGAGATCTACTCCAAATAATGTTACAAAAATAATAACAACCATTATAATTATTATAATTATTATAATTATAATCATTATAACTATGATTTATAAAATAAAAAAAAAAAGAACCGCGCAATTTTATATAACAAATAAGCATGTAATTTAGGAATAGACTTCAACAAAAAAAAAAACCATAATCAAACTGAATATTACGTTTTGATTTTAAGACAAATTCGAATAAGGTGAATAATATATAAAATTGAATAGTACATTACACATAGTTAGTATATTTAAAAATAATAAAAATTGAATCATAGTGCATTTAATAAAGTTAAATTGAATAATAGTTAAATTTCTTTGAATATAAACATTTTGAATATATTTGAGTAAGTTGCATTGAATAGTGCATTTGAAAATATACAATTAATATAAATACATCGAATAAACTCATTATATATTTATTAAAGTATTTAAATATGTATAACCCGAATTTAACAATGAATAGTACATTAAATAAGTATAAAACGAATTAACAATGAATAGTACATTGAATAGTACATTGAATAGTACATTGAATAGTACATTGAATAGTGAATCGAATAAATATATTAAATAGTATATATACTTTGAATAACAAACAAGCGCGTTTAGATTCTAAACTGTTGAACTGTTAAACTGTAGTATAAATAATGCTTAATTAGATGATAATGAATAATTCTATACTCGGAATTTTGGTTGAATGATAACCAAAAAAAATGCAATCTTTGATTTATCTAGCATAAATTGCTGACATGGTTACCCATTGTATGAAAAAATAATTGGTGTTACGATATCTTTAAATAGATTATTTTCATATAGTATTTGAAAATATTCTTACTACGTACAGTATATAGTCAACGTAGCAAGGGTATGCATTAAAATCATAAATTGCAAGGGTATTGTTACGAGTGATAATTATCTGTTAGCAATCTGTTAGTTATTTGCTGTTAGTTATCTGTTAATCCATTTGTCTAACCGTTTGTTTATCTGTTTGTCTATTGGAGACTAAAAAATTTGTATTGGAATTTTATTGTTTACAAGATATGTACTATATCGATATGTACTATATGTATCAAGGTATGTACAAGGGTATGTGGGTATGTACCAGACAGGACGTGTACCAGGATGTGTACCAGGGTATGTACCAGGCAGGGTATGTCTCCAAGAAAAGGAGAAAGGGATTTTATTCAAGAATGGTTAAATGGCGCGTATAATAAAGAAACGGAGGTTCCAATGGTACCTAGAAGTACCTAGAGCTAACAAACATCGTATGCTACCAATGTGAAAACATTTAACCGAATAAAGAAAGTCTAATTGTGGCGTACTTAATTTGTATTGTTTCTCTTTTGTGAATCAGGTTTAGAGTGTGTGGGCGTTGTTAATGTAGTGGTCAATCAATCTAGGTTTTTTTTTTTTTTTTATTACTGGCTATTTTTTTAGGTCTTTCAGCCCATTCGTCCTTTGAATATGAATTGCGCCTAAAAAATATAATGAATATAGAGTAGAATAAAATATAATTGAATATAGAGTAGAATGAATATAATTGAATATAGAGTAGAATGAATATAATTGAATATAATGTACACAACATCTTATAGTTAATCCGATTATTTCATTATTTCTATTAATTTAATTTCATGTTCTACCTCATAATACGTATATGCTATCACAATTTTACCTTGTGTCTTTTACTGCGTCGTTTTTAATACTCTAGGTGCATAGCTTACTTGCGTTTTTGTTTATCTGTCGAACGATCTGTTGTTGGAACAACACGCATCATCCTGAATATGTATGATTATAATTGTGCGAAAAGCTGATAGGTGTCACAACATATAAAGTGAAAACGTATCTGGTTTTTTTTTTATTTATATTTTAATTAATTCATATTAAACTATGTTTTTATTTCGTCAATTATTTATGCTACATTATTGTAATGCTAAAAAACACACCTCCTTGATGGTGCTATAAAACTCGTCAAACGGTATGCGACCACACGATGTGCACAAAAAAATACTTTGCAACTTTGCACATCCTTCTCTCGTATCACCCTTTATTCTTAAAGTCTCCCGTGCGACGAAAGTATTACTTGAAAATTGATACTATCCGACCTATTTTGTCCTAGAAAAAAAAACCTTCATATTAAATTTATTTAAATTATTTCGGTTCTGTGCTTCACATGAATAAATTAAAGTTAGTTTTAATAATTAGGTATCTACGGTTAATCTAATAGTATTTAAAGCACCTGCATATATATATATATATATACAAACATTTTATACATATACATAATATAATATACATTTATATATTTATATTTATATATTTATATATATATAAATATATAAATATATAAATATACATATATATATATATGTATATATATGTATTTTTTTTTTTTTTTTTTTATAGATTAATTTAAAATTTTGGGTGCTTCAATTTGATGTTTTTTTGATTTTCATTATACTGTAATTTTTACGATATACACACATATATAATATTTTTTATTCTTTCTTACTATATAGCAAGCCCCTAAAGCTTTTTTTTTTTTTTTAACCCCCAGATTTTTTTTTCCTCTCATCATTAATTGAAAAACTCATTCGGTTCCCAAAAAAAAAAAAAATTTTTTTTTAAAATCTTTTATATAATATATTCTTTTCACACGAGACTTTTTTTTTTTTTTTTTTTTTTCAAACAAACTTTGAATTTTTAATGGGTCCAGAAAAATAATAATAAAAAAAAAAAAAATCCCCTTTTTGTCATTTTTTATTGAAATCTTACAAGTTGGTTTTTTTTTTTCAGGTTTTATGTTATATATATATACTCAAAGTACAACTTTTTTTTAAAATTCATTCTTGATATTTTTTTTTACTAGTAGAATTGGGAATTTAGATTTCCTAAAGTCCATATAGGCCGAATTTTTTTTTTTATTTTTTTTTTTTTACGAACGGGTAAATATTTACGAAATAAAAAAAAAAAACCCCATTGACGAAATGATAGCAACGTACCAACACAATCAGCCAACTTCTTTTGCACATCAACGTCAAAGTTCCGAAACTTTTGAGGATATCAAGAGTAATAACTCGACAAATTTTGGAATTAACATTGTAAAAAATTGTGACAGTCCATATAACAACCGTGCCATTCAAGCAAGCTTGAGCGAACAACCTCCACAACAACACGTTCAATCTTCCACTGGTTCACGACAACAAACTTTTGGCTCCTTAACGACAAAAACATTTAATAATAATTCTCGAACGTCTTCATTATCAACGTCTAATACGACAACAAATTGTAACAACTTTACCAATACTCAAATCTTTACAACGGCCTCAACAACGGAGCAACATCAATTTTCTTTTGCAAATTCTCGCAGTGGCAACGGCAATAACCGTCAAAATTCCAACAATGGTAAAATTATAAATATGGGTCATAACGTTGATGGTTGGAATTATAAAGAATTTAATGATATTCCAAAAAATTCTGCAAAAGAAGAAGATTCATCGAAATTAAAATTTGGTCATATTCTTCTTGAACAAGCTCTATTTCCTCCAAAAAAGTCTTGTTGTGTTGATAATAATGAAGATAAGGATGATGATTCGAAAAAAGATCCTTTGGGGGCTTCAGTTTGGCGCCTTTATACAAAAGCTAAAGATGCTTTACCTAATGGAATTCGTGCCGAAAATATTACTTGGAGAATGATGTATTTAGCTTTAAAAAAAAAAAAAAATTCTGAACAGACTTTAATTAAACATGAATCGTTTGATAATGACCCTCCTCATATGTCTGTTTCAACAAATAATTCTTCCATGTTGGATGATGTTTTTTCAAGTAATATTAGACAATCTAAAAATTCCGTTACCTCTTCTAAAACATCAATTATTAATGATACTTCTGTTCAAGAAAAGTATGTTTATTTATCTCTATTTATAATATTTCTTAAATTTTATTTTAAATATTATTTTATCTTTTTTATTTTTTTAAATTTGTATTATAGGAACAGAAATTGCTTGAAAGATGCCGACAATCATGTTGAAACTACGTTATTAAGTTTAGATATGGATGTGGATGATTCGCTTAACAAAATCGACCGTCATTTGACTGTGGACATGGATCAAGATGATTACAATGCATTACTCGTTGATGTTGATGTCGATGATCACAATCACGCTCCCTTTGTGATGTCCCCACCTGATACTAGTAGTAATCCAGATGATAATCTATCCGTTTATAACTCAACTCCTTCTCCCGTGCTCTCTTCTTCCACTACTTCGGCCATCCCAATTCCTGTGTCCTCTGCTTCAAACAATTATAACCCTCCTTTAACTACGTCTCCAACGAATTGTCATTATGAATTCATTCCAACCTCTGAAGGATTCAGATTACAAAATCCACCATCAATAAAGAGGAATTATGCGAATGTTTCTGGAAAACCTATGATATATAATGATCGTTCTTTTGCTGTCCCTGTATCTCGTTCTCAAATTTTCAATTCTACTGGTACTCAAGGATTTCCTTACAAAAAGGTATGATATATTATTATATTTATATATATATATATTAATATATATATAATATTTACTTTTTGATTTTACTTTTGAATTCACTTTTGAATTTACTTTTAAATATATTTTTAAATAAATTTATAGGCACCAAAACCGCATATCTTAAACTTTCCTCCATCATCAATATCAAGTATAACAATACCAAATGATACTCCTGATGACTCAGACGTGGAATTACCAGATTCATTGTCCTCATCGGTGACAACTGCATCTACCAATACACAATATCCATTAACTTTTAATCCCGCGTTTGATCAATCAACTCTCGATTATCCTGGTTCTTTAATAAGTTCTTCGGCTCCAGCTTTTTCCTATACAAACTTTTGTGATATTGCTACCTCTGATGCTTTAAATGATAATAATGCTATTTCATACAATCAATCAACTGCTAGCACTCCTATTACTCCTGCTGATAATGCAGGAATTTATTTTGATCTCAATGCTGGAAATGATATTGGTGCTGATGGATTTTTCAACATTTATTTTATGCAGGGTAACGGTCCTCATATTAATCCCTCTCAATTAATATCAACGTCTCCTAGTAGTGCCTTTTATGATTTTATTCAAGATCAAAATTCTGGTGGAAAGAACAAAAATTCTAATTCTTTTGAATTTGATGTATCAGGTAGTAGTCATAGTGCTAATAGTCCATCAAAAATAAAAAGACATTCGTTGGATGACCTTTCATCTTCAACTATAGTTGATACGAACTGTATAAACAAGAACAATTCTTTGATCTCATCTCCCACATTAACTAGTGGTGGTGAAGGTTCTGAGTCTGAAACTTCAAATTCGTTACCATGTAAAAGACAAAGACCAACTTCTCGAACGTCATCTATTCCGACAAATAGTTCTTCAAATTCTACTTCTAATAATACTAAATCTCCACCATCTCCCCCAATATCTAAAGATGGTAATAATTGTGGAAATAATAGTAATAATGGTAATAGTGGTAATTCTTCTAAAAATGCTATGTCTACCACTTGTACCAACTGTCATACCCAAACAACTCCTTTATGGCGGCGTAATCCTGAAGGTCAACCACTATGTAATGCTTGTGGTTTATTCCTTAAACTTCATGGTGTCGTAAGACCATTAAGTCTTAAAACAGATACTATTAAAAAACGTAATCGTAATGGGGGTGCTGTTGCTGCTGGAAAGAATCCTGCTAAAGGTGTTAAAGGTCCAGTACAACTCGGTCCTAGTGGTGCGAGCATGGGAGTTATAGGCAAACGAATATCTTTGTCAAATTCTATTACATCAAGATCACAAAATGGTAATTCTCCTGCACCTACTCCTGTATTATCAAATTCGACTTCTACTTCACAATTCACCAATGGATTCACTGAACGACATCAAATGGTTGGTGCATTACCAAAAAGACAAAGGAGACTTTCGGGTGATGAACAACAATTAAATTCACAAACTCGATCCAATGAAGTTCAACAATCACAAAATTATGTTTTAAAACATTCACCTGGTTCATTTTCTTCTAATGGTGAACAATCAAAAATACAACATGTTTTGGATAACAATACTGTTTCTTCATCACCTGGATACAATATACCTTCTAAACGTAATATTCATCGTGCGCATACCACTGGGCAAATTATGCACACTCCCTCAACATTGTCTCAGTCAATATTATTGTATCCATTGATGCAACCGGCACTACCAAGCGAGAATGATAATATGATATCTTCAAATGCCAACTATGCTTTGCGTCCTGGAGTGATAAGGCACCGATCCTGTGGAACAAGTGGTTCAAATAATGGTAACACGGGTAACCGAGGATCAAGATTTTGATTGAATATATATGATTAATTTTTTATCAAAATTTTAACACAATAGAAAAGGACTATTGATTATCTATATAGTGCCAAACCACTAGACGCAAAGTTCGTTAGCTTGTCAATTTGTTGACTGCATTATTTCGCTACGACTTTTTTTTTTTTTGGTTTTTGGTTCTATTGCTAAACGATTAATTTGATCGAGTTAAAAGGTTATGATTTTTTTTTTATTTATCAATGTGAATATATACTTTTTTTTAAACATAAAACCACAAGATAACAGTACATCTAAGAGTGTTCTGTTTTAATTTTTATTTATTTTATTACAACATCGCACTTCCAAGCACAATTACCCCCCTCCCGACGCATAAAATTTTTTTGTGAATATAATTTTCAGTCAATTACTTCATGTTTCCTTTAGGAATAACTCCATAGGATAACATTTTTTTTAAAAAAAATTTAATCCGAAAGTCCAATTTTTTATCGAATTTTCTTTGAGCACTTTTTTATGATTAACAACACACCGAATACATTTTAAATTTACAACTGTACAGTATAATTTTTTTTTAACTTAACACGAATTTATATGCTTTTTGAAATTTTCACACTTTTTACATTTTCAATATATACCATATGTATATTTATGTTAAAAAAAACAAAAAGAAATTTTTTTTTACTAAAGCATTACATTTGGGAATAATTATGTGCATAAAATAATGTGTTCAGTTAATGAATGTATATTTTGCATTAAACAAAAAACCAAAAAAAAAGAAGAAAAATAGAGACATTAATTAACTCGATTAATGATTAACGTTTAAGAGTAAAGACTATAAATGTAATGTTTAATATATATATAAATAATTTTGTAAAATAAATTTGACTTCTTTTTGACTTTATTATTTATACATATTTTTAAATGTGTTTTTACATACAAAAAAAAATGTCATTAATTATCGAAAAAGTTATTGCTTGTCTTTGTTTAATTTCGTAATTCGTAATGTCGTAATTTCGTAATTTCGTAATTTCTCTGATTTAATTTTGTAATTTCGCCTGAAGATTTTGATATGTAAATGCAAAATTTGATCAACATAATTTCTTAATGCTGGCCGAAAAATCCAACCCGTGTCATTTAACTAAGACCAAACTTAAAAAAATTTCGCTATTAAGTTAGGTTAAAAAGATACTTCTTAATATCAAATTTTCAACATTTTATCTATGAAACTACTTTCTGCGCATTAACAAAAAATTTTTCTTGCGAGTTATAACCGATTTTTTGGTTTGATTGATGGGATAAATACTTTACTAAACTTTGCAAATTTGCAACTATATAATTACTTTATACATAGTACATTTACTATATGTTAGCAATACGTTACTACGATTTTACTACTATTTTTGTTAACATTTTATTACAAAGTTTTTGTAAACCTATTATTTTACTTTATTTTTATTACAATTTTATTAAAAATTTTAATAAAATAAGGTAACCTCTTTGGTCTTTTGACTTTTATTAATAATTTTTTTGGTAATGTGATTCTATGAACTATTACAGAAAAAATACATTATAGTTATTGTATAAGTCTAATGTAACAACCCATGTGTTATTATTTAATAATTTAAGCTTTGTTGTGTTACTATTTAAGTAAAACTTCTTGCTTACTAATTCTAATCTTTTTCACAAATGTCAAATAACAGTCTTATGGTTGAGAATCTTAAAGTTCAATGGTTTATAAACCTTTCATACATTGCAAATACTAAAAAAAATACTTCAAAGTAGTTTTACTATATTAATCAGTATCATGATAAAAAAAGCATTACAAAAATGTTAAATCAGTTCAATAATAAAGAAGAACTTGATGTGTTCTTGTACTCATTTATTGGTTGGTTTAAAAAAAAGACGATATATCATTTAAAGTTGAATTAGTTTATAATTGTTACACTATTTTTGTAAGATATTTTTATAAAACTCTGCTATAAATGATGTTTAAATTTGAAATAAGTATTTATTTCCTAGAGCATTTCATGTTTGAATAGAAAAATGAAATCTTTACAAAATGCTAGTTATGGTAATATATCGAAAAGTAATTCTCTAATATCAGAAGAAATTATATCTTGTCTCAATTATAATTATCTTTTGATTAAAAATAATAAAGGCTTGATTAAAAGGGTTTTCTTTTGGTTATCATTGTTTTGTAGATTAAGAAGTAGTAATATATATAGGTTAGAGTATCATAATCTTAAAAGATGAAATGATGTTGGTCTGCAATTAAGATTTTATCTAAAAAAAATAATCAAGGTGGCTTGCAATTAAGATTTCGCCATAAAAAAAATAATCAAGATGATGTATTATATTAACAACAATATGGTTATACTGCAATACAATTTATTCCAATTCCTTCGAATCATATCAATAATCAATTTATATCTATCAAAGATCTTCTTTTGTATTTATCAAAATGTTCATATAAGTGTGAAGCTATAAATGTATTATTTTTGTAATAAGCTAAAACAATTAGACAATTATAAACTTTTTTTTTTTTGATTTATTAAAAACTAAGATTTAATACTTTCCTATTTTTTTAAAAATAAAAAATAGTATCTGGAATAAGGTATCTCAAATGGATAAAAACAAATTAAAATCAATAATACAGCAGATAGTAATCAACATAGGAATAAATCTTAATAAAAGAAAAATAATGAATCATAGTGCTCAATATATTGCAATAATAATATTAAAGACTTTCAACATCCCTAAAGATGAAACAATGATATTCTCAGAACGTCATTTTTGTGAAGGTATTTGGGCTTATAGCAGCCTAACTGATAATCAACATTTGTCTTTTATAGTATTGTTAATTCTCTATACAGCATATAATAAAAATCTTAGATCATTTTATACATTTCTAAGAGATTTTTATATTGATTATAAATCTGATAATAATAAAGAATTAAGTTAGTATAGGCTATTAAAAAAAATATTAACAATTTAATAATCTACTTATCTTTTAAATATTAATATAACAAGCATATCAAATCCAAATCAAGAATCTTTAAATTTCACCTCTCAAATATCAATTTCTAATAAGTTTTTTTTTATTACTTAATTATAAATTAATTTTTATTTATTTACTTTTTTTAACATTTTAAATAAGTTTTTTTTAAAAAAAAAAAGTTTAAATGTAAATTCAAAACTTTTAAAACTGTTTAAAAGTCCTATGATTAATTATAAAAAAACATAGCACTATTATAACTAGCAACAACCATGGCTTTATCATCATAACCAGCAACAACTATAACTCCATTATCATGATCAGTAACAATCACAACTTTATCATCATAACTAACAACCATAACTTCACCATCTTGACCAGCAACAACTACTGCCTCACTATTAAAACTAATCAGTACAAATAAGGAAAGAACAGACACAAAAATGAAACAATCACAATAAACAAGTAATTGAACATCATGAAGATGAGAAAATACAAAGGCCAACTAAAAAAAAAAAAAAATAAAAGATTTTATAACTTATAACAAATAACATAATTATTTAAATTTCTAATACTGAAAAGCTAATTGATATTAATTTAAAGATTTCTTTTAATAATTAATATATATACTTTTTTTTAAAAAAAAATGTAATGTTTTATTAAAATATATTTTTTATTTTACAAATAAAATAAAATATCATTCGCAAAAAAAATAATTGCAATTTTAAAAATGTCTGACTATTACAATTTTGATAAAATGTTTTTCACTAATAATGATTTTTTAAAAGAATTTATTTATACAGATATATATAAAAATTATATAATTATTATATATATCTGTGTGAATAAGTTTTCAAAAAAAGCACAACTTGTTACATAAGACCTATATAATAAACAATTAATTACATATGTAACTTTTTTATATTACCTATTTAAAAAGTTTATCTAAAGGTTTCTTATTAATTGTCATATCTAATATTTTCATTTGAGTGTTCTATTTTAAACTTTTTAAATCTGCAATCTGTATTAATATTACTAGATCATATCTAGGTCATCATCTTAATTTTAGAACTATTTTATCTTTAAGATAAACTTTTCAAAGTTTTTTGTACTTATTTTTACAGTTGACTTAATATTGTTATAATAGAATTAATATTTGTGATTAGGATTAACTATTAAACTACAGTACTTTTGTAGAGTTTACTCAAATCCTAGCATCTATTTTACAGCATATTTCTAATATTTTAGTATATTTTTGTCTGTTTTTTAGACTCTCAATCCAGATAGTTTATATAGAACTACAACTAGTCTATTAATATATTAAGTCAGTCTAATAAAATTTAATTGTATTTATTATTAGTAAAACTTCTAAACAATTTTTTTTTTATTCAAATATTTTTTAAGCTTTAAAATTTTTTATATTAATATAACAAAATGTTACAGTTCTTGTTTTTAAAAGCTTATTTAACTATTTTTAATAAACCTTTATTATAATATTATGTATATAGATTTTTGTTTTTTTAATCTTATAAAGTTTACTTTTAAACAATGTATTACAACTATTAGTATTACTTATTTGTATTTCTATATATTGAAAATTTAATTAATAAAGTTTTATTTTTAATACTTTGCTAAATAATAAAAAAGTACTATAATAAAAAAGCACAAAACCATGTAATTAACAATAAATAAGATGTTTATTATATTATTACTATTTTTCTAAGTTAAAAAACAGTCTCTAAATGAAGTATACTTAGACAAGGTAAATTTAAGAGATATTCAAGATACTTAAAATTTTATTTATGAAATGTTTTCTATATTATTATACATAAAAATACTTCAAACTATATAAATTCTTTTGTATAAAATTAACCAATCTCAAAAAAGTTACCTTATAGGTATCTAGATGTTGTAAGAGGTTAGTATAAGATAAAACAAATATAATGAATTGTTGCTTGAAAATAGAATATATCATATTACATTCCTCAAAGATAATAGAAACAGTTTTACAATTTGATACAAGGTTAAAATAATTATCAAAGAGTGTTATAAAATAAGTATAAAACTTTAAAAAATGTTAATATATTTTATAAATCAAAAAAACTTTATTAATTTTTTTTATTGTTTTGTAGAGGCAATACAATTATGAAATTATATTATTATATGACTCTAAACTATAAGCTTGAACTAAACTATTTTTTAAGAAAGAAAAATTCCATCTTTTTTATAACAAATTTGTTTACAAGAAAAGTACATACAAGATTATGACTCTTCTCATTATTCCTAATGAATTCCAACTATTTTTGTTCTAACCTTTAACCTTTTCATAGATACAGCCTTCATTACTTTAACATTTCTCATATTTTTCATAGAACTGATAAAAATGCTTTATTACCATTCATCCCAAGGCCAGAACCTAACATAATTATTACAATCACATCCATTTGACATTTAACCCAAGAATAAAGTGAAGTCAACATCCATTCTCAGCATAGTGGTGCGAATGGGTTGGTCCAGATTGACCTTCTTTATTTGGAGGAGGTGGTAGGGTCCCACATTGAGGCTTGTGTGCTATCATATGGCTTTCTTGAGGCCGGGTGCACATGTTTCAAGTGGATCGTCATGGGCACTACCGATTAGGCAAGTAGGCCACTATGACGATCACTTTGCAGGTCTTATGGTGTGTCAGTTTTATGTGTAATTGTCTGTTGCTACGCTCCGGACACTCTTTTGATGCGTTTTGATCATGCAAAATTCTTTTTTGATGCGTCAGTATAATTATCTTAATCAAATATATCAATATCGTAATTTTGAAAAATTTTTTGTCAGTCCACACGCGTGACGTGTGATTGCAAGATTATTTACAAACAGGTTATTGATTACTAAATTAGTAATATGGCTATAAAAGAAATTCATTAATTTATTTATACTTTATTATTTATGCTCCAGACTTATATCGGTTTCCGATTCCTAGTAATAAAACATTCTTATTCATACGGTATACCCCTAATACAAATACTCGGGTACTAAAATAGACAAGGAAAATATCCCGGATATACATGATGGGTAAATACGGGTGAAATTATAATCTGTGCTCGGTTGGTGGTCATGTGATGATCATCGGGTAATATTCAATAAACATTCCATTCAAAGCTCATATGATAATACTGTAGTACCATGTAATGTAGATCATTTTTAAAATATTACTTTTTATTTTCAATATGTGACACAACAGACACTCTTGTAAAACGCGTCATTAGTAGTTAAAGAACATACGCAAGTAAACGAATAAAACTTTATTAGTCATATATTTTAAAGTGATTCATTATCGTTATATTTTATACTAATACGTCAATTAAACATAATAATTATATTATCTACCCCTAGTAAATTAACTTCTGTATTTGCGTAAGATCCAGTTACCCTTAAAATGCAGGTTTCAGTGCGTCTTAAAATCAATATATTTATTTGTAATTTATATCGATATTAAGCTGAAACCGTAAATTTAACACTGTTTAACTTAGATGTTATTAAAGTTAAAAGTTTGAGTTTTACCTGTTGCAAATACGCGTAAATCCAATTTGAGTTATGAATTTATAACCAGTTCTAATCTTCAATACAAAGAATAAATAGAAAATGTGTTAGTTAAATTTATTCTACATATATATTTTATATTATCAATAAACAATACTTATCTTTGTAATTAAATAAAATCGTACTGGTCAAACATCGTTTTAAATAATAATTAGTTTTTGGGTGCTCTAAAACTTTTTTTTTTAATATACGATTATTTAATAGTATTATGGCTCCCACAAATAGCTAATCTTAAAACTAAACCAAATTACCACTGAAACTTCTAGTATACTGAAGTATACTGAAGTATATCGAAGTATAATATAAATGATGTAATGTTTCATATAAAATAAAAATGTTTCATACAAAATAAATCATAAATATAATAGTAAACTTTATATTTGCATCAATGTAATACTCTCTTTACTTTATAAAAGCAATCCTTTTCATTTACTAAATGCTTAGACCTGGATCTTAAGAGGTTCTCCCTGAGATTTCTTAAACGTGTACATCAATATAATTTCTCTTTAATTTTCATTAATGGATCTAAATTTGATACTAAACACTACTCAAACAAATATATTTTCTATTTCACTGTCAGATAATGAAATCACCCAAGATAATCCTACTGTCTTGCAGTATGTTTTACCTCAGGAATATGATTATATCATCGATTCATTTAGGGTAGTTCAAGTGCATAACTTCTTGGGTGCATATACAGAACTATTCGAAGCAAAGTTCTGTGTGAATATTTTTACTGAAGACAATGCTAAAATGTGGCTTGATAAGTTCTTTAATTTAC